TATATATATATATATATATGCTCAGATGAAGCATTTGTTCTTCTGAAAAGTATATCATAATTTTATAAGTGATTTTGTGTAAAAACATTTAATTTCTGTACAAAATGAAAATACGAATCTTGCAATGTGTGGAAGCATGAAGTTGACATGTAAAAACAAAATGAAACAATGCCAGCAACACTTTCAAAAAAACACAAAGTTTATTCACATTATGTCCCTTTCATACATTTTGCTTTTTGTTTTCGTAACAAAGTACGTTTTCTGTTTTGTATAGCTCTGAAAATGATTTTAGATGAACATATACTGATTAATGAACATTTATTGTATTGATTCATATAGTTTAGTATTCCAACTAAATCATTCTTGCATGTAAATCTTTGAAATGATAAAGATGCTGATGCTGACTGACTCATGGTGCAGTCACACTTGCACGACAGTCATTTGACTCCTCCCACCCTGAGCAGGCTGTTGAATTCCTGTGAGGGGATGCTCCACTGGCCCAGTGAAGCTGCTGGTTGCAGTCTCGAGGCAGAAAGTTTGGCTCGTACTCATCTGACAGACGAGATCTCAGCTCACCTTGTGCTCTCAGACAACTTGCTGGCTTTGCTGCAAATCTCGATGTGTGCAACTTTGAAAGTAGCTGTGATGACGGGAGACGCCTCTCAGATGGTTTGATAAATCAGCAGGACTTATGAATAAAAACACACCACCCTCAACGGGGACAGGGAGAGACAGAACACACTGTTGCATTGGGTGAGTTTCAGTTTTGATGGATGGCTTTACTGTAAATAAAGTTCACAGTTTATTATTTGTGTTATTTACATCAGAGTGTGCACCGTAGTAAAAAAAAAAACGCTAGCACATTTTACATGTTTAGGCCATATTACTTGAGAGTACACAATGCTCTAAGAGTGCTCTGTGTGACATTTTGTCAGGGGTTCAAATCCCAAGTGAAGTCATAAATGTTTGGCCCAGAGGCAGCTGCTCTGATGGGGTTCAGCGCACCTCCAGTCACACGCGCACACAAAGAATACACAAGTAGGCTAATCACTTTTCTCATTGTTCTTTTCTGCCAGGGGGTTCCTGTCCTGGTCTAAGCATCAGAGCATAATGGCTGCTTTTAAAGGGATCTGGACCAAGAAGTTCTGGAGGGCTGTGTCAGGAGAATACCTGTCCACGGTCATCTTTGTCCTCCTGAGTCTGGGCTCCACCATAAACTGGGCTGCGGAGGAGGAGAATCCTCCCCCAGCTGATGTAGTCCGCATCTCCCTGTGCTTTGGTCTCAGCATCGCCACCATGGTGCAATGCTTCGGCCACATCAGCGGTGGACACATCAACCCGGCCGTCACTGCCGCGATGGTCGTAACTAGAAAGCTGAGCCTGGCGAAAGCTGTGTTCTACATGATGGCTCAGTGTCTGGGCGCCATTACCGGAGCTGGGATTCTTTATTTAGTCACGCCTGCTGCTGTTCAAGGATCATTGGGGGTGACAATGGTATCTTTAGTCTGATCTGTGTGCAGTCAATCTTTAACAAGTTTTCCAATTAATCCTGAAGAAAATATTCTGTTTCCAAGGTGAACTCCAAGATCTCACTGGGACACGCCCTTCTTATTGAGCTTTTCATCACCTTTGAACTGGTCTTCACTATCTTCGCGACCTGTGACCCCAAACGCACAGACCTGAGCGGCTCTGCAAGCCTGGCCATTGGCTTTGCTGTTGCCATAGGTCACTTATTTGCAGTAAGTCGCCTCTAGAACAATAAAGAACGATGCACTCATATTACAATTCTATCACATAAATGCCCCAAAACACACAGCACCATCACCTGACTCCTTCGACAGGAAGTACAGATTGAATATTAGAAAATCTTATAGCAGCATGCCTGACGTTAAAGGACTGCAGATAAAGGCTGACTCTGAAATCGAGCGAGCACATTTTGATCTGTGATAGTGTACCCTGTGATTCACACACCCATGTGTACAGATCTGTGCCAGCGGCTGTCATCGCATGGCAACCAAATATCCAGGGGCTTCCTAAATCCTGCAGGAGTGACAATTAAATGCACAGAGAAACAGAAAGTATATGTTGCACCGTTCTCTGAGGTCTGCTTTAAACTGTTTAACAAATACTGAATATGCATTACAATCCACCTTTAAGGTAAGATGAAACATGTCCATATATCCTGCACTTTTAAGCACAGCTGTAAGATTGTTTCCTTAAAATTACAGTGATACAAATGTGTGCCTTTCAGATTCCTTACACCGGAGCCAGCATGAACCCTGCTCGGTCCTTTGGGCCAGCAATGGTCACACTGAACTTTGAGAACCATTGGGTAAGAGCTCTTACATAGAAATATCCAAAACACAGGAGTTTCTTGGATAAAGAACAGTTCAAGCTAGTCACTAGCTAACAAATATCATTCATCATTTCATGTCAACACGCTCATATTTATTGTGATTTGTACATTTCAAATGTCAGACATGTAGCACTGAAAACGAGTGAATCAGATCAAAACCAATGAGTAATTGCTCATTGATCCATATCAAAGAAAAGTCTAAATAACACACGTCAAATGCTCAGTTGAAACTTTATATAATCATAATTTTATCAAAAC